CCCACTTTAGCCGCCTCAACTAAGCCCTAATCGTATCGATGTAATTTGCCGGTGACATTTTGAGATAACCGGAGGAATCGGAAGTACGTCAGACCACCTGGAGCCATATTAGATGGAACGTTTGACAATATTGACGGATGGACGAGCAGGGAGAGCTTTGAAGAGAGTGTTGTAGCCATCCTTTTGAGAAGTTATATCACGAAAGGATGTCGATATATATCCTGCGAGAGGAAGACATGGACGAAATTCAATGAGTAACCACCAAGGATAATGATGACGCGAAAAAGAAGCTTTCAAATGAGATTTGATCGATCAAATCCCATCATTTGGTCAGACGATATTGCTGATTTAAGATGCAAACGTTCATCTCGACCCACAAAAACATGATAAGGAACTGCTGATACCCATTCCTACGATATTTCCCCATAATTCTACCCAAGAAATGCCGAACAATTCCTTCAGCTACCACTGGAGCACGTAAAGCAAATGGTGAGATGTTCTCCCTGAATATTCATTCCCCAAATTTATCACCAACGTGAGATCGCCTTGTACCACAGTGAACATTGCCGCCATCTGGGTCTCGGATCGTAATTCAACAGGACAAAGCGAAACTGGACATTGAATTCTATCCATCTCCAATGAACCAAACTCACCAACTTGAACTTGCTTACTCTATTGTAGCAATACACATACCTCAATGTTGATTTTCTATGGTAGTATCGTTAACTTGGCTCAAGGGCACAATAGATACACCATGTTGTTAATAAACATCCATCGAAGACACTAGAGGCGTTGTAATTAGGGGATTAATCGTCCCTTACCATCAATATCTCCCTCCGATGTTCATTCGCCTACGGCTAAGTTGGATGAATACAGCAGTTGAGGTGCGTTTCATCACTCTATCTCCCTGATATTCACCCTTCATCGTTGGTACATTGTGACGACTGAAGGAACGGTATGAAAGCAAAGTGGAATGACATGAGAATGAAAGGGGGAGGAGGAAAAAAACAAGCTAATGGCATGCAAATAGCGAGGATATTCGTGCCGAGGCAGCTGGCAGCTTTTCTTATTGGCCGGACGATTCCATAGCACATTTAGCCAGTGCTACAGTGCAATCACCTTTTTGAATGTGCTCGGACACCCTCGTTTTCCTCTCTCAATGGTCTTGCACGGATACCACTTGTGTGTCTGTGTAATATCCATGTTTATAGCTATGTACATGCTGATTTCCCCGAGGCTAAAGGGCGAGCTATTCATTCGGTTTAGCATTCAGGTTGTAAGTACATGTCTAGTTTCTCCAATCTTCAATAGATTTCTCTTTACATCTGTCCACTTATTTCCGTTTTCACACTTATCTTTGATTATTGGTGGGGAAAGCTTACTGTAGCAACTAATGCCTTAAAGAAATCTTAATTTGAGCCGATAGACACAAAATGCATGTCTTATCCGTTATCATTATGAGATATTTTGCTATTTGAAAAGGAGACGTTTGATAGACGGCACTCAAAGACTACTCAGTTGTTATAACCGGACGATGTGAGGTTAGAATTCGCGTTTTATCAGCCCTAGGAGCATAAACGATTTTTTTTCACCAAAAAAATTCTCTATTTATATCTGGGTGGTAATACGCCAGAGTATAACGCAGCGTCTGCGAAAATTTTCACCACATTTTCATAAGTATCTCAGAACTTGAATACTCTCGATTCTCCTTTTCCTTGGGGTTTCTTCTCCTCATCTCTGTATTTCCACACTTCGCTTTTTTTACAAGAAACAGCTGTTCCGGGTATGTTTATGCAACCCCAGTGGCCGCACAATCCATTAGCCCCACTTGTGTTGTTCTACCGGTGCGAAGTGCTCAAAATGGCGGGGGATTCTGCAACAGTAATTACTGATGTCTTGCATAGCTCAACGAGATGCTCCCATCGCTCCGGGTGCCCACGAGTCTGCTTTTCTTTTATCGGCTCAGTTAACCGCTCATGTTCAATTTCTCGTTAGTCCTCTTTGTTTTGCGTTCCGCAAATAGTTTAATGATAACTGTGAATGGGAATTTGAATACGTGGAGGAAATAATTCGAGAAGAATTCTAGTATGCGATTATTTTCATTCTAATTTTTATATAATTTCGGGAATTATGAATGACAACATAAACATCAACATAAAGCAACTATGAAATGAAACGAAAATAAAAGAACACAACAAAAAACAATTTGAGTACGTATATCATTAAGACATTTTAATTGCTCATTTGACTAATTTCATTATTCTACTTTATGTTTAATTTAATTAAATTTTTAATTCTGTAATCGGCCGCGTGCTGTTGGGGGTCTGCATGAAATAAAAATGAAAAATGAAATGAAAAGTTCATGAATAATGCTAAAAATAAGTATCGATTAATAATATTAAATAAACAATAAAATTTCCTCTCGAAAATATTAAAAACTAGTGTCTTCAAGACGTCTTAGTTCTAAATTGAAATTGTCGAATGTTTTAAAATAGTAATAAATCCTAAATATTAATGCATTTAGCTTCACGATTACCTTTCGTACAGTAAAATTGGCCTCAATTTTCTAGATAATTTTTATCCAACTTCTCTTTAAATTTAAATTAAATTAAATAACGATTTAAATAACGATTCTTGATCCTTCGAATGCGGCATGATTTCTCACGTCTATCACCGAACCGTGGAAACACTTTATGGGGACTTTAGTGAGACAAGACAAACTGTTATGTATTCCCTTTGTCAGTAATTTGGTCCTTCCAGAGGATACGACTGAAAAGAAAGGAGCGCACCCGGTAAACTAATGATTACGGTACGAATTACGAGACTCTAACGCTATGTTCCAGTCGGGAGGTGTCGCATGTCCCTTTCCCCTAACTGTACGAATTCAGCGTCACGCAGCGGAAGAGGGACGACATCGATTGCTCGTCCTTCTTCGGTGCATGGGATAAAGAGGATGGATTAAAGGGAACATTAGATGCAACTTTGATTCAACTTTCTATCCGATAATTCGTTTGTGTAATAGTAAATGATGGACGGGGTCTTCATAATTGTCTATCGAAGGAAAATCATGATGAAATCATCAGTTTTCTCTTCATTCTAGTGTTTTATACGCGTAGAGAATGTAAAATTAATAATTACTATGTGAATATAGTAATCGAGGATCATACCGGAAAAATTTGACAATTTTATTTATTTTAACTGAACGTTTGCGATGTGAAAATCATTTTTTATTAACTTGCTATAGGAGCACCTAATAAAGAATTAATTAATTAATTAATTTTTCAGTATAAAATGCGCGGACGCAAAAATTTTCAAAAGTTTTAAAAGTGTTTATGCAAATCGCATGAATTTATACTATGTTAAATTGTAATTTTTTTTTACGATTTAAAATTTATTATCAATTGAATTATCAATTTAATTTTTTTTTAATCGTGGAAATCTGGAAAATCGTGATTGAATCATTAGTTTTCTCTCCTCTCCAACAGTTTATATGCAGATTTATTATGTGAGATCGTCGACAACTCACCATTGAAATGGTGAATTGATAACCCCCCGGAATGTTTTAATAATTTTTGAAATTCAGTGACTGATTGTCAATTTAATTTCGGCGAGAATTTCAAAAATATGGGAAAAATGTCTGAAAGTTATATTCACTTATGAAAAATATTTCGAATTCTTTCCAGTGTACTACGTTTCAAAGGCGGAAAATACAAATGAAAGCCGCTCGTTGGTACATATCGCGAATATTCATCCCAGCTTTTGTTCCCCCACTCGCTATATCCCAAAATGATGGAATATACCTTATCGCCCCTATTTATCCCCACGTTTTCGAGCCACGGCTTCAACACTCACGAAAACTCGTCTTCTCTCCACCGAATTCCACTTCTCTGCACCCATTATATCCAAGTGTAATTTTAGTAATGAAAGCCCCAGCGTGGCGAATACAACGAGTTACCGAAATTTTTTTTACACCGGAAAACGCAACGGTGAAACCGCTGTTGCGCGATTATTGCAATCGTCTCCGTGTATACAGTACCATCCATCCATTCGCTCACAGCGAGGTAAAAGGATTTTATTTTTGTAATTCAACACTGTGCATTACTGTCGGTATGAATTTTTTTTTTTAAACTGCGATTGTCGTCCGAGGCAGGGCTCCCTTTATGATTTTTTTAAGGGTTGGAATCTGAATTTAGGGTGGAAAACTCTTGGTCAAACGGAATTTTAGATTTTTCAGACATGAAAATTTTTCCTCTTTTTGAAAGAATGGAATTCGAATTTAATTGTAAAAATTATGGAATTTTTTTTATTTCATTCCATTTTTTGTTTTCGATCAGAGAATGCGAGAAAAATGATGAATATTTTTTATTGAGTGGAATTTTGTTGTCGATGTGAACATTTTCTATTTTTGCAGGAATAGAATTCAAATTTAATTCAAAAATTTCTGGCAAGACTTTTTTTTATAATTTAGTCTATTTTTTGGTCTTGATTTTTTTTAAGGGTTGGAATTTGAATTGAGGGATGAAAACTCTCAATCAAACCGAATTCTAGACTTTCCAGAAATGAAAATTTTTCTTCTTCTTGAAGGATTGGAATTCAAATTTAACTGCAAAAATTCTAGCAATACTTTTTTTATATTTCAGTCAATTTTTTGGTCCTGATGAATTTTTTTAAGAGTTGGAATTGAAGTTAGAGATGACAATTTTTAGTTGAATGGAATTTTTTATGTTCTAGACATGAAAATTTTTCTTGTCGAAGGGATGGAAACAAATTTAATAGCAAAAATTCTGGCAATACTTTTTTTAAATATTCTAGTCTATTTTTTGGTTTTCCTCAGATACTACGAGAAAAATGATGAATATTTTCAAGTTAATGGATTTTTTTTATGTTCTAGACACTGGAAGTTTCAACAAGTTCTGAAGAAATTCATCGCAAACATCGTCGAATGAATCGGAACACTCCGTCACTTGTTGGTTTCCACAAGGCTGAGCGATGAGGATAAAATGGGTACAAATGACGCGCCCCAGATTTTGAGATCCATCAACAATCGTCACAGTTCTTTCGTGAGGTTCATCAATACCACCACTCACGACGTCGAAGTACTCTGGATCGATTATGAAGGGCTCGCTGTTCGTTATGGTATATTGAATCCTGGGGATCGCTTGGATATCAATACTTTTGCCACTCATCCTTGGATTTTTGTGGAGGAAGATACGAGAGACAGGTAGAATTACAATTTTTTTTTTATTTCGCTATTCTTTGTATTACGAAAGAGGTTGACGTGTGTGGAATGAATCAGGTGGGGAGAGAGGTTCAAGGTTTTTTGACTGAAGTTTTTTCTTGCGAATATTGAAATATCGTTCATGGAGTTCCTTATAAATTTTATTTAATTGTTACATTGTTAAAAATTCTTGTTCCATTGAGGATTTTAGGAATTTCGTAATTGAAAACTCAAAATTGGATGCCATAATTTAAATTTTAATTCAATTATTCCATAAAAATGAATACAAATCAGAAAAATTCACTGTGATTTGATACATTCTAACGATTTTTTCATCATATTATAATTCCACTGAAATTTCGAGGAATTTTGTCATTGAAAATTTACAATTTTATGAGAAAATTCGTAAACTGCAGGTAAATTTTTCTTGTAATTTTCAGTGAATTGAAAATTTAGCTTGATTTCGCTGAATATTCATGTTTTTTTCATTGAAAATTCATGCAAGTTGGGGAATTCTCGTCTTCATTCGTCTGCTGTTGAAAAATCGTGAATTCCATTAAATTGCCTCAAAAAATTTGAAATATGATTTCTTTTCTTTTGAAACATGTTTTTTTTTCCCTCTCCCCTGAAATTCAATGAAATTTCTCCCGAAAATCATTACTAAATTATCCACGAAATTTTGAATTTGAATTATTCAACAATATTGATTAAACCACAAATGATCTAATTATTCATTACAGATTCGTGGTGGATGGCAAAGACGTATTTCTCCCTCAGCCCTGGTTCGCTCGATATCTTGACATGCCCCGTCATGAACTCCCACAAATGATCGAGCGGACCCAAGTGAATATCACCCTGCCAATCTACACTCTCCGCGATCTCTCTTTACGTGTAATAAAGCGTCGTCTGCGTCACGACTATCACGCTTTTCTCCTCGAAATACCGCAGAGTCTTCAATACGAATTGGCCTCGATGTTACCTCGAAAGGGTGATTTTGCAGAGCCCTGACAACGGGAAGACCCTGTGTCCTGAATGTAATGAAAGCGAGTCAACATATTCGGGCGCACGACTCTCAACAGCAGTACAAGGTAAGTCAATGACTTCTAGACTTGTTTCACTGTAAAATGTTGCGGGCGTGTGACATTCAAGGGAGAATGCTGATGAGGCGAGGCATTCATGTATTATCCTCAACATCTCCATATAAATCGATTTGTTACATCTTTTAGCGGTCGTTTGGGGAGAGATGGAATTGTCTGGATTGAATGTTCAATGTTGAATATTCCGTGAATGTTCGATGTTCGATGGTGAATGTTGAATATGCAATGTTGAATGGCGGATGTTGAAAGTTCAATGTTCAAACATAAATGTTGACTATTCGATGTTCAGTGTTGAATGTTGAATTTCAAATGTTCAATGGTAAATGTTGAATATTCGATGTTCAGTGTTGAATGGTAATGGTTGATGGTTCCAAGACGGATATTGATTGTTGACTGTTGAATATTTAACATTGAATGTTCAGTGTTCAAAGGTAAATGTTGACTATTCGATGTTCAGTGTTGAATGTTGAATTTCAAATGTTCAATGGTAAATGTTGAATATTCAATGTTCAGTGTTGAATGGTAATGGTTGATGGTTCCAAGGCGGATGTTGATTGTTGACTGTTGAATATTCAACATTGAATGTTCAGTGTTCAAAGGTAAATGTTGACTATTTGATGTTCAGTGTTGAATGTTGAATTTTGGATGTTCAATAGTAAATGTTGAATGTCCGATGTTCAGTGTTGAATGTTGAATTTTGAATGTTCAATGGTGAAAGTTGAACGTTCAGTGATAAATATTTAATTATGAATGTTGAATATTAAATGTTCAGTGTTGAATGGTGAATATTGAATGTTCAATGCCCAATGGTGAATGTCGAATATTCAGTCGCACAACTATCAACAAAACCACAAAATAAGTCAATGACTTCTAGTCTCGTTCCACTATAAAATGTTCCAAGCGTGTGACATTCAAGAAAGAATGCTGATGAGTCTCATCATTCATGTATGACATACCCAGGATTCCATACAAATCGACATTTTACATCCTTCAGTAGGAAGACTAAACCCCCCAACAGGTTCTTATTTTTTATCCTGAATATTTGAAAAGGATTTAAGACAAAACTACACTCGATCATCCCAAAAATGTTACATTTCCTCTGCAAGCAAGCAAACGATGCCGTGACTTGAAAAAAATTATTTGCTCACTCCACAATTTATCTGAAGTGAGTAAATTGTCTATAAAAAATCGTTCGAATAAATTCATCAGCTCAATTAAAATACCCTTTTCCCCGCCTGTATTATACATATCTGGGTATATTCAGTGCTCCCCCAGCACTCTCTCGTTGAAATTTTCTATCTCTCGGAATATCTATTGATCGAGATGTGCCAACAGCTCCAAATGAACACCCTCCAAGACACAGGACCCATGTACGGGGAGTAATACGGGGAGTAATAATCGTATTTTCTGAACTAAATTCGTTACTCCTAGTGGCTTCATAAATTTTTCCCAGCTGTTTGTGTGGACTCTGCAGAAGAAAAAAAAATAAAAACAGAATGAAAAAAAAATCAAAAAGAAATTGAAAGACGAATGAGACAGAGACGAGTAAGTCCTCGGTCGCTTGTGGAAGCCGGTCACGTGAGTTCGATCGTTCGGGCGGGGG